TTTATCTGTACACAAACCACATCATTTTATACAGTATTCCAGTGAACATTTACTCTGGGATGTAGGTATATGCTGCTTAAGACGAAACTTAAATGGGGTCATTCTGTCAGTCAGTTAGTCAGCTAAAACGTAGAGATTCGTATGTATGTACATCATTTCAAGTTGCCGTACCATATTAACACACAGATACAATCGTCAAATCAATTCCCATAGTGGTAAAGATAGTGGAAGTATTAGCTGTAATGAAGAAGATTAGGGTTCGAAGATATTATTCAAGGAGTATAATCCAGTGAAATAGATTTGAGAACAGAAAGATAAATGGATGCACCCAAGCCATTGCAAACGATTTTGAGTCATATCATTCAAGGTCTCTAATCATCGGTTACTATTATCTCGCAGGTTCCAATCAGGTAGTCTACACTGCCCAACATGACTCAGTCCTCATGTCAATGACTTCATTCATTTGTGCGATGTTTTGGTCTGATCAAATCTAGCTATATTCTATCATACCCCTACATCGAAAAACATAGGTCGTTGAGGCAAACGGTATTTAGGCCTATGCGGGTCTGGAGCAGTCTGGTCAGTATGTCTACCAATGATCCGTTGAGGACCTTGTATTAGAGACGATTTGAAAACCGGAGACCGGAGGTAACTGTGGCTGCTAGTCAGTGCACTTCTCTGGTGGCTCGGTAACCAGTATGAATTTTCAGGTCTATCTGGGTAAGACCGCCTCGCCGCCTTTGACGACTGGAGGATAGGGTTGTAGGCTGGATGAAGAGATCGAGTTGGTTCATAGTTTCCCATGTAATGATAACCGTTTCTGCTGCAACTGATTAGATATCCTACCATCTCGCAGGTGAATCTCTGAAAACGTGTACAGTTTCTTCGGATGACGAGAATTGCGCGTAACTGGTGGCCCACGAGACCTCTTATATTGTGTAAAAACGGAACAAGTTTATGTTCGGTAGGGTCTATAGTTAATCCAGTCTACTCGCCTACATGTAAATTTTCAATCAGAAGTGAAATAAAGGTATGACTCTACGAAAATGCATTTATCAATGTTTACTGTATTAGAAAAAAACATCCAAGGAAGTTCATAAAACAACCATGATGATGATGATGATGAAGGCGATTACGATAATAATAATAATAAACTAAGGAAAAAACTTAAGTTTCTGTATACAAATTTGTCTAGCGTATTATACACGTACATCATATCACTTGATCAATCATCATTGAAATCAATATTTTGATAAAATCAAATATGAATAAACTGTAACGTATTCAATTTATATTGAGTATTGAAAATTCTCAATGAATCATCCATTATCTAGGGGTTTTTTAATGAATCACCAAGACTTCAGTTTCCCACGCTTACCTCTTAAACATATTCATATCCTGACATGTATGCATTTGTTTAACTAAACTACCATTAGAACGACAATAGCCTACACGTATAAAGATTATTATATACTAACAGTACATTCATAAATTAGGTCATATTATAAATGTAAACATTACACGTTGTCTAGGCGATTTCAAAAAAAACTAAAGTTTTAATATAATCAGATTAGTAAGACTATTTATTAGTGATCACACTATCCTGTGTGTACACAAGATGAAATCACACTGTAGATAAACACATAAAACTTTATGTTGGGACGGCGCCCAAAAAAAATACAATGAAGCTTTCTCAGACTATTTCTAGAACATAGATATGCCATTCTGTAATTGGACAATTATAAAATATAATCTTTTGACGGCCTTGAGTGAACCAATCAGAATTAAGGCGCGGTACTTTGTGTTTTGCGCTAATTTCAAAGTGCAACGATAGATAACTTGTATGTTAATATTAGTGTTGAGTGAAGCTAAATACAAATCCCCTTTTAAAACTCTTACTCTAAATCGCATTTTTAAGTCTTTTGAGTTTGTAAACAGTAGAATAACAAAGTATTGTATCACAGCTGATGTCAGTTCGTGATGGAAACACTAACCTTAATTTAAGAAAAAACAAACTCATAATTTCGTACTAATTTTGATACCTAACCGTAATCTGTTAGCATCCTAGCTGGTCTCCAGTGGGGACAAAAATTCTAAGCGATGATTACTTTGACTAACAACACTAGCTCAACTCTTGGAATGTGAACTTTTCTTTTCATTATAAGGAATAATTTCGACCTCGGAGAATTGATAGTTTATAATTTAGAGACCAGGACGAATACTTAAGTACGGTATGCAATAAATCTTTCATTTATTTGCCGTTTATCATTCTTAAGCGAACCCCGTGTGTGTAACAGGAAGCCAGATAGTGTGAAGATTAAAAGTGGAAAAATGAAGTGAAGTAGCGAAGGTGAGTGAGCCAACTTAATGTAATGAGGCATAACTAAGCTTGACTAAGTTTATAAGCAAAATAATTGACAAGGTTGAAAAGCATGTGAATAGAGAATCGAAAATAAAAGGTTAATCTATTTGTCTAAAAGCTGGGGGACACACCATGTGGGCTTGACAATGACTTCTACCAGTTATTTTATTAGTAAGCAGTGTTTCCTGATTGGCTGATAAGGCATTCAAGGTCGTCAGTGTATGATACTTTCGCCTGTAAACAACCTGTTCATGGCTTGGGTTGAATTATCATATGTTTATATCAAAGGCTATAAATACTCTTGTTTCTCTGTACATTTCGACATTTACTATGGTAAACACTTCCCCTTATTTCTTTTACATTGGAGGTTCTACCAGTAGGCGACATAACACTCTGCGTTCACAGGAGAGATTATTACAGCGCACTCATTAGTGACTAACTTGGATTATAGTTATAATTAAGTTTACCAACCCTCAGGGGTTGAACTTCTACCAGGAAAGACGCTTACTGATCTAGAATATGCCGATGACATAGTTCTACTTGTTGAAGACGCTGACACAATGCAGAGTCTTCTAACTACCCTAAGCAACAATGCAAGCATGCTTCAAGATTGGGTTGCATCGGCACCTGAACTAGTGATAGGGAGTGAAGTAGTCGAGCGTGTTGATCGCTTCACTTATCTGGGGAGTCACATCAGTGCCGATGGCCTGGTGACTGACGTAATCTCAGCACGGATACAGAAAGTTCGATTGGCTTTTGCCAACCTGCGTCACTTATGGCGTAGATGAGATATCCGTTCGCTGAACAAAGGACGGGTGTGCTGCACAGCAGTTCGCTCCGTTCTCCTGTATGGATGCGAAACATGGCCGTTAGAAGTAGATGTTCGTAGGTTACTAGTATTCGATCATAGATGTCTTCGAAGCATTGCACGTATATCGTGGGACAACCGAGTAAGCAATGCTATCGTTAAGAAACGGGTGCTAGGTAAGTTTGGCAGATCAATAGATGAAGCGATGAAACTTCATCAGTTGAGGTGGCTGGGACATGTGTTACGTATGGCTAACCACGGACTGCCTCGACGAGCTATGTTTTGTGGTGTAGGAGTAGGTTACGACTATTACGACCATTTTGACGACTTTTATGTGCATCTAGTTGGTTTCTTACTTTATTGTGTCAATGTTGTGTAGTGACTTGAATTGTCATTAAATTCCATAGTTTATATCATGAACTGATCATTGGTTAAGTAACCGTTAGGATCGAAAAAGAGAGAGCGATCATCCACAACCCTCACAAGGAATCAAATCTACGTCCACCAGGTCTGAAAGAGAAATATTGACCTATAACCTAGTGCAATAGCATCCACTAACTTAACTTCTGGTATCATTCATTGGTGGATAACCGCCTAAAATATAACATTATTGAAAGGGATTTGTGATGACTGTATTATTTTCACAGTTAACATTTGGAACTAATCTTGGCGAGACCACCATTAGAAAGAAACTTGGGAGCATTAGATGGGCATTTCGCCCAAGTATAAGACTCCTCAGTGATGTTCATCCACCACCTCTGTGATCAGAAATCAAACCTGGAAGCTTCGGTTTCGTGCGAAAACACTTAACCTGTTGACCACTGAGTCGGCATCCAGAGGTATCAACTTCTAACTTCAATCAATTCTACAACCATGCACAACCTTCATTTAGTACCTGCGGCAGATAACAACTGCCTTCTCCTTTTTGATAATTTAAGGCAGATATCAAGAGAATAAATAGCACTTGCGAACAACTGGGGAAGTAAGTTCAGGACAAAGTTGATTGGCGAATTCTGATTCGTGACGTATGGCTCACTAAAGGTAACAGACTTAAGTATGTAAGTAGTTATCGTTTTTGTATAACTTAAACTGCCACCTTAAAATTTATCATATCATTTTTGTTTCAATTAGGTGGATAAAATTACTAAACCCATGTACATAATTGAAGCATTTTAAAACCCCTAAACTACAACAAAAACATACTTCACTTAAGTTAGTCATCAACCAAAATCATTAGATTGCATCAAAACAGTTATAGAACAAAATTAGAAAAATGCAATAGGTTTTCTGGCATATTAAGCTTCTTTCAATGGACAAGTTCATTAGTTTCACTGAAACAATGAATAAATCAATGTTAAACCATCACTAGAGATCTGAAAGCACTGGACAGACGTTTGGTCCTAATAAGAGACTCCATAGCATCACATGTCCACAACTTCCACACGCGGAAATCGAAGCCAGGAAAACCGCTATCGCGCTTGAACACTTAACCGCTAGACTACTAAGTCGGCACGATTGGATGCCTTCCTTAAATCTTATCCATGCTATCTTCAGAGATCGTGTTCTCTTCACGTAGCTAGTCCTGGATTCAATTCTCGCGTACAGAAGTCCTGCATGCACTCTGATGATAAGTCACATACTAGAACGAAATCGCCGTCCAATGCTTACTAGTTTCTAATAGTAGTCTAACATTGGTCAATTCATGATCTGAAAAAAAGTAACTAAACATTCTTCCCAACTCTATAACAACTAGTCAATCAATTGATTAACTAAAAGAATAAACTTGACCACTTGATTACATAATCTCAATCGAGCAATAAATTTACTTACCTCTTTTTGTAATCGTCTAAATTGTATAACAGGAATTTTCGAAGAAGATGATGATGAAGATGATTCGACTGTTTCACTGGAATCACTACGACTCAAAATCGATTGATTTTCATGCTGACTAGAAGACGATTTCTCTTTATTCATTTCAGTTTCACGGAAACTTGTTAAAACACCACGACGTTTACGTGAATAAGCTAAATTCAAAAAATTTATGGAAAAAAGAGAGGGAAGAAGATTACGATGAGTAGGATATCAATAAAAGTTATTTATAATATAAGTGAGTGAATAATGCACCAATTTTGAAATCTAACTAGTTTGATCGTAAATCAGTTGAAGTAGAGCAGAAAATTTTATTGCTTTCTCCTTTTTCAGATCTGGTCGTTATAAATTACTTTAGAAACAATCATCTATACTACTACTGTGGTGTGAGCTACTTATAAGTAGTATATGACGTGAGTGTCAACGTAATGTCTGGCAGCGGAAGATAGGGGAAGATCAAGAAAGGAAGAGTTAGAAAACAATGGAATTTGTATGAAACGCATGAATAGTGACAATGGATTGATGTTTTGCAACAGGAACAGTCCAGTTCGATAGGATAGACTGATATTTCGCAAATGAACGATTTACGATATGGTTTTCTGATTTTACTGAGTAACTCTGTAATTTTCGCTAAATACAATTTGTTTGTCCTCACCTGTGTTCTTCTTCACTACACTACTACTCTCATAGATTAAGACGTTAAAACTGAATGGAAAAGTAGTATATTTATGGAGTAGATGATATTTACAAATAAATAATAAAACCTGTACACCTTATCTTTAGATTTCTATTCGTACCATAAGTAAATTGTTAACTGTATTCTTTCATATGTCTTCTAATAGTCTAGTAGTCACTTTGATTGGTTCATAATTTAAGATTTGATACTTTTCTCTTCGGCAGGAACATTGAAAGTAGTATCTACCACATTAATACTACTACTCACACTACTACTACTCAGTCAGTCAATTAACAACAACGTAGAACTTCATACATAAGTTTATCAGTTCAAGTTGCCATACCACAGTAGCACACAGAGATGTAATTGTCAATTCAAATCCCTATTCGATAACTTGAGACTCATCCAAATCACTAGCGAGACCTTATTCTCACGTCCCAGTTAACAGCACACGCCATCCGCACTATTTTCGGATAAGACCCACCCAGATCCGCAGGCCACGCTGCCCTTGACTTCATAAAAAATGACAGTCTCAAGCTCTCAACCGCTAAGTATGAACGAGACTATCATCGTTTCACATTCAGGTTGCCAGATACATACATGTACTGGTGTTTCTCAACTTTTTTTGTTACATAAACCAAGATAAGTTATCATATATCATATGTGTATGTGTTAGCCATAGCTTAAAAGAAAACAAATGATTTCAAGAAAGAAATCGGCGAAAACATAACAAGGACAAATGAAAGAAAATCATGAAAAGAATTCTCTAACAATTTATTGCTAACATTTTTTTCCCGTGTACGTATATGTGTGGACACAGTAAAAATATCATTGATACAAGTCGATAAATCAGTAAAAATGTTACACATACATATATGCATATATACATAGCCTACATTTCTATCCCATTCCCTCTCTCTCTCTCTCACACACACACACACACATAAGCGAACACATACTCGTTCTCTCTCTCTCTACGTACATAGAAATTCTTAAAATTTCTATAGAATCTATAGAATTCATCTGTTTAATTTTCAAATTTAAAACACATGGTATATACATATATAAATATCTAGATACATTTGGTTAATTTACTGAACAGATGTAATTGTACTTTATCGGTTGAACACTACTTCTAGACTAGTTGTAAATTAACACTAGACTAAAGTAAAACATTGAAATCATAGAACTAAATATAGAATTCATCAATAAGAAATGTGTTTTTACTTTGGTCGTTTATTTGGTCATGGTATACTACTGAAATGTGTAAAAAATATTCATTTAGGTAGTATAAGACTAAATAGACAAACAAACGCACAAACGAAACATTGTGCTTTACATTAGACTGACTTAGGTGCCATGCTATTTCGAACTAGTCATGATGAAATTGAAACTACACATGTAGTAGTAGTAGTAGTAGAACTAGCTGTAGACAAATTCATCAGCTAAGACGACATCAGTTGGACAGCGTAGGACATCTTATAAGTTGGAGAAGTTTGTAGTCAGTTGACTAGTATCATGTTTAACTAGCAGTCTAATGATAATCAAATTCTATCGATCGAGTTGCCCATGGTCACTAGTCTGAGTGAATCAACTCCCGACAGAGTTATGCTGAGAAGTAAGTTAATGGTTAGGAGTCATTGTGTGATAGATGGACAAATTTCAGGTTGAACAGTAAATTTTATTCAGCCGGACTAAAAAGAACTTGACAAATAGGATATTGATCAGTTACACATTTTTGAAACCATGAATCGATCAATGTTAGACAACCATTAGAAACCTGGAAGCACTGGGACTCCTCATGGTTTCAAAAATGTGTAACTGATCAATATCTTATTTGCCAAGGTTCGAATCCTGTGGGGTGCAGGAGTCGTGGATGCGCACTGCTGATGAGTTCCATACCAGGACGAAACGGCCATCCAGTGCTTCCAGGTTTCTAATGGTGGTCTAACATTGATCGATTCATGGTTTCAAAAATGTGTAACTTAACAATCTTCACAACCCACAAATGCAAACTGATCAGTTAATTTTTATGTCTGTGTTCTAAGGGGAAAGAGTTAACTGAAGATTTACTTGAAAGTGGTCAGTCTAATCACCTGCAATAAAATTGACGAGGAGAGGAACTCAGAGGTAAGATTGAAATTAAATCATTTTTAACCTAGTTCAATTCATGATTGACAGTAGGTCTTACATTATCGAAAATCCTATTTGGCACACTGTGGGATATGAAAATTCAACTTAACAGTTTTCAACAACAAAATAATTAATTTATTTTACCCAAGTACTGCTAAAAAGCTAAAGCAAGTGGTTTTTCTTAGGAAGTCACGCCCTGAACTATAAACTCACAGGTCTAATCCACAAAGTAGTAGAACGGAGTTAAGAAATGCAGTGTTATGGTAGCTGCTAACCAGCAATATGTTCATACGCCATTTGTTTCATCTGAATCCTTGAACCTATTTGCACTATTGGTTGTGAATGAGAGTTTTCCAACTCTCTTAGATAGATCCTCTGTACTCCGCAATCTGGTTAAAGAGCCGAACACTAAATTTTCGTCCCTTCCATTTCTTAAACAACACCTCTGCGTCAAGAAGGTAGTGAGTAGGACCTCTACCTAGTAATGGCTATATATACGTGCCTATAAGATGAAAATTGAGAAAGGAAGAGCCGACTCTCTCAATCTCAACCGTATAAGGGCGTTGGGGAGCCTTCAATAATTATATGAATTAATCTAGTACAGTCTAGCGTTGTCTTTATTTTATTAACAGAGGCTTAAATATACAGTTCGGCCTATGCACTATCAAAGGTAACTTAGTAAGTAAGCAAGTAAGTAAGTAAGTAGGTAAGTGCATAAGTAAGTAAGTAAGTAAGTGCATAAGTAAGTAAGTAAGTAAGTAAGTAAGTAGGTAAGTAAGTAAGTAAGTGCATAAGTAAGTAAGTAAGTAAGTAAGTAAGTAAGTAAGCTAATATACATTTGAGTTCATTGATAATCAACAACTTGGTCTACAATTGCACTAATATGATTATTCAAGGCACTACTTTCCGATTTATAAAATTATACAAGTTATAACCATTAAAATTTTATCTGTTGTATTGTTTAACTTTCTATTAGATAAAATTTAAAATGTAAACACCTGTGAATTTTAAAACAAATAAAGGAATGCTGAATAAATTTAATAAAAAATATATATATTGTGTAAACTTATACAATACAGATTAAAAACAATATCTATTTTTCTAATGAATAACGTTTTTGAAAACAAATAACCTGAACTGTACAACCATCAGTAGTAGTAGTAGTAGTAGTAGTAGTAGTAGTAGTAGTATTTCGATTGTAGTTATCATTACAGTCGAGTAGGTGAATTTCATTCTACTTGGAATTCGTCAGCTGGATTCATTTTTAACGCGATATTGATGTTCATGCTGCTGAAACTCAGATTTATTATCTTTCACTTCAAAATCAGTCAGTCAGTCACTTACAACGTAGAACTTCGTACATACGTACCTACGTCAGTTCAGGTTACCATAACACATTAGCACTGAAACGCAAAAGTCACTACAAATCCCCTAGTGGTAATGTAAATAATTAGGGTTTGAAGATATGATTCAAGAAGTATAATTCAGTAAGATAAATTTAGAAAGAGAAAGGTTACTAGTAGGTTACTAGTAGGTTACTAGTATTCGATCATAGATGTTTAAGAAGCATTGCTCGTATATTGTGGGACACCCGTATAAGCAATGCTGTCGTTAGGAAAGGATGGCAGATCTATTGATGAAGTGGTGAAACTTCATCAGTTAAGGTGGTTGAGACATGTGTTACGTATGCCTAACCACCGACTGCCACGACGAGCAGTGTTATGAGGTGTAGGAGTAGGTTGGAAGGTTAGGGTTGGCCAAACCAAAACATGGCACAAATCAATGAAGTCACTGACAAGTGGACTGAGTCATGTTGGTAGATGTAGACTACCTGGTTGAGGGCCGCGAGACGAAAGTCATCAATGGTTAGAGACCTCAAACGACATGGCTCAAAATCGTTTGCAATGGCGCAAGTGCATCCATTCTTTGTGCTCTCTCGAATACTAATCTTCTCTACCTTTGTCTTTCTAACCTAATCTCACTGAATTATATTTCTTGAATAATATCTTCGAACCCTAGTCTTCTTCATTACCATTAATACCTCCACTATGTTTATCACTATGGGATTATTTATCCCCATCAGCTTGAGAAATTTATATAAACGTGCTATCGCTCGACCCTCATATGCTAATATGCAAAAGACGTAACTCGTAACCTAGCAAAACTCTCATGATTGATAATCGAAGAATGTGAATTACGTCTATTCAGATATACTTCTTTAATTCTATTAAATTCTGTACATCAAATGTTTCATTAGAACTTCGATTGTTGGTGTTACAACCTGCTACTGATCAAGGACAATAATGTATTCTGTGTCACATCGAAAAGCCTGGAGAAATGTTAGTCCA